GATATCACCAGCAACGCGGTGGCCTTGCGCCATATCCGCCGCCACGGCAACGCCAACAGCGGCACAGTTCGCCCCACCCGCCGCACCACCACCGCTGCCACGACGACCCGCAACGCCGCCCGCAACAGCACCAGCGCAATCACCACATCGCGTGCCACCGCTGTTCTTCGTGCAACCCTGCAGGTGGAGGTGCACCCCCGACGCAGCGTCACGTCCGAAGCGCTCAGGGCCAAACTCGACGGCCTCATACGCCAGGGCGGTCGCGCTGCTGTCCTCACCAGGGGCGACTTCTTCTTGCCTGCTGGCAACGCAGCCGTCGTCACGCCAGGATACATGCACCGCAGCACGCCAAGGCCAACACGCCCGTCGCCGCTTCGCCAGGAGCAGAGCGCCGTTGTCGCTGATCGTGCCGCTGTTCGTGCTGGCGGTGACCGGGACCGTGAGGTTGACGGTGTTGCTCAGCGCATGCAGGGCGTCACCATCACCCGCCAGCAGTGAGACAGACACACGCAGGGGCAGCTGATGCGACGAGATTTTTTTGGGGGGGGGGAGGGTTGAAGCAGCGGTGGGCGGGACAGTTGTGTCGACCGGTTGGTTGGTTGTGTTGGTTGGAGTGCCTGTTTGTTGGTGTGGTTGGTTGCTTGGATGTATGTGCCAGTGAGCCATGGAGTGGAAAGGAGGTGCACATGGCTGCCAGCTTAAGTGCGTGCGTCTGTCGACAGCTGTCGCTGGCCATGCACTGGTGCTTGTGCGCACCACGTGCCTTCCGCTCATTGGCTGGGAGTCGTGAGTTGTGTCGAAGGTTGTTGTTGTTGTTGTTGTTGTTGTTGTTGTTGTTGCTACTGCTGCTGGTTCAGCCCCCCTGCCTTGTCTTGTCTTCCATTGGTCGTCTCATATCTATGTGTGTACGTGCATGACTGTGCCTGTGTCATGATGCGGTGTGTTCGTTGCTGTGGAAACCTGCTGTGACTACCATCGCTGCCATGAACAAGACTGCAACAAGTACACAGTGTGCACAAACGCGAGTGGCACAACGTGAGGTGATGTGTGCATGTGTGTGTGCATGTGTGACGTGTGTGGCTGGTTGGAAGGGGAGTAAAACTGCAAACTGCATGAGCAAAGCGCAAGCTGCTCAACTCACACACACACACACACACACACACACGCGACATGCTCACACGACATGCTCACACACACACACACAGACACGCACGCGTGTGTGAGTCACATTTGTTGCACTCAC